TTCTTTGCCGATCGCTTAGCGGCTGGTCATGTGAGGGAATTAACATCCCCACACAGCTCTCCGACCTTCTGTGTGCGAACAGCAACAGGAGGGTAGCTGATTGTGCATGCATTTAACAAGTTGAATGTTAGAAACGGTACCGGCTCAGAAGCCGATACCAAGGAAGGACGTCATCATAAATGGTATGTCAAAGAGTACCATCTTTTCGTCCATGGATCTGATGGATCGATTCGATCAGATCCTAATGCGTGAACGGGACATCCCGTACACAGCAGTGAGCACCCCCAGTGGTATGCTCTGGGAGTGGCTAGTGATGCCACAGGGGCTAAGTAACGCCCCTGCAACGTTCAACAGATGTGTTACGAACCTGTTGCGATCGGTGCGCGATTTCGCACCGAGTTACTTTGACGATGTCTTTGTACATAGCGGGACTATGGATGGAAAGACGGACGTGGAGGTTCATAGAATCCACGTCCGAAGGGTTCTTACACTTATGCGTGAGCACAAGTTTTTCGCGAACCTCAATAAGTGTATATTCGCAGCGAACGAAATACCACTTCTTGGCTGCATCGTGGGTAAAAACAGTTTTGCGCACTGATCCGTAAAGATCAAGGCTTTTAGCGACTGTCCCATGCCAGTCGACGTCAAGGGACTTTGAAAGTTCCTTGGCTTGGCGGCGTACTTGCACAAGTACTCGCGCAACTACGCCAAGATGACCGTACATCTCTCTTGTCTGCTAAAGAAAAACGAGAGGTGGTCATGGGGCGCTGAGTGTCAGCACTCATTTGAAGGCATCAAGAAAAGCTTGATGCAATCGCCTGTGTTGGCGATTGCAGACCAGGACAGACCATTCCACGTGATCTGTGACGCCAGCGATTTGCGATCGGCTGTGCGCTAATGCAGTACGACTCAGACGGCTTTGAGAGCGTCGTCTGTTATCAATCGCGTCAGCTGCAAGAAGCTGAGCGTAATTACCCGGTGCATGACAAAGAACTCCTTGCCATGAAGTATGCACTGGCTAAGTTTCGGGTACATCTCTTACGAGATAGGCCCTTCATCGTTTATACCGACCACGCGTCGTTACGCACGGCCGTAAACAGTCTACACCTCTCGCAACGAATGGCAAGGTGGCTGTCTTTTTTCGCGGAGTACAACTTCTCCGTCTAGTACAAACTAGGACGACTAAATATCGTCGCTGGTGCTCTTTCGCGTCGGCCCGATTTCGAGCCGACTGCTCAACCCAACAATAGGGGTGATCCCACGGAAGCGACACTAACAGTGAGTGTTCCGTCGTCGAATCTGCTCGACGATGTGCGAAAAGCATACGCAGAAGATGAGTCTCTTCTGCGATTGATGGATTACATATCCAGTCCGTGTAATTAAGCTTTGACAAGCTTGTCGTCTCAATACCGCTCTTCAACCGATGGGTATTTTTGTTCGTGATGGACTGCTGCACTATACAGCAGTCAACGGCGACACACCTCGTGTCGATGTTCCGGCTCATTATGATTTGCGATTGCGCATCATGTATGAGTGTCACGATTCCCCCAACAAGTGGGCATCGCGGTAGAGAAAAGACTTACCTCATGGTGAGTCGTGACTTCTACTGGCCCCGCCAGTATGAGTTTGTGCGCAAATACATTCGTGCTTGCGAAGTTTGTCAACGGGTGAAGCCTAGTCCTTCATCCCGCGCACCCTTGCAGCCTCTACCGATTCTGACTACGTGTTGGCAGTCCGCATCGATGGACTTCGTCTTCGGAATCCCAAAGACGTTCACATGAATACTGGTATTCTTGTGTTTGTTGATCAATTTAGCAAGATGGTTTTTCTTGTTGCTGTACCAAAGTCAATCACAGCCCAGGGCTGTGCGCGTGTCTTCATCGATACTATCTTCCGACTTCACGATTTACCCCGTGAGCTCGTGTCTGATTGAGAACCCCGCTTTACGGCAGAGTTCTGACAATCCGTGTTACGTTCACTTGGAACACATTTATAGATGTCGACTTCTGATCATCCAGAAAAAGATGGTCAGACGTAAAGCGTCAACCGCGTCCTCAAAGAGATACTTCGAGGGCACGTCCACCCGTTTGCGAGTTAGAATGAGTTCTTGCCAATGGCGGGATTCACCATCAACAACTCGGTGCATACGTCGACAACGCATACAACGTTCGTCGTGAATATCCTGCGCCATCCACGTTTATCCGCCCTCTTAGGCTGTAACTCTATTTTTAGGGGGGCGGTGAACTCGCTCAAACAAAAACCGATCTGGTTCTTGCTCATCACCCGTCGACAATGGTGTCGATGTGATGGATGCCGATGTCAATGCGATCGATATCGATGATCATGATGATGACGACGATGCCGGTATGTTTATCATCACAGATGACTGCTAAAGTGAGGCTGATGACGCTTTCACTGGTTAAGACAGCGTTCTTCCAGCAGTGCACACGAAGCGCACTGCTGTTGACAAGGATAAATTAGCAGAGGAGTATCTGCTGACTCGCGATGCGGTTGTCCTCTTCGTTCAAGACTCTATTGCAGATGCACTAGAATGACAGGAAAGAAATTCGGACAAACATGAAAGAGCAAATGTTCTTTCATTTGATGAAGGAGACCTAGTTTTTCTGTCTACAGTAAACTTACCGAAACACGCGGTGACAAACGTGGGCAGCAGTAAATTACTGCCCAAGTAAAACGGTCCATTTCGTGTGTTGCGCCGAATGGACAACGCATACACGATTGAACTGCCCCGTAAGATGCGTACGCATCCTACGTTTTACTTTGGTCGTCTCCGCCCGTACTATCAGTACAATCCCCTTTCGAGATGCGAAGAACACCTCTGCAGTCGAAAGCCGAGACCACCTTCGAGTGGTCCCGTTTCAACGAGCCAGTCTGGTCGACTAGCGAAGAGACCTGCTCACGCAGTTGAGCGATGTCTCGACGAGCTGCAGTCATCTCGTCACGTAGAGAATGAGCCGAACGTTCATTCTCAAGTTGCGCAAACGCAAACGTGGCACGATCGTCCGAACGATCGTGCGCTAAGTAATTGTAATTATCCTTTACAAGATCATGGAGCTCATGACGCCGAGTCCGTTCATGATCCAGGTCATCTTGCAACTGTTCCGTTACACGGTTCAGCTCCTGAACATCAAGCTGATACGACCCTTGAGGCGGATCAGGTGTTCCCGCCGCCACCACATCCTTTGGTGGACTCAAGCGGTGGCCAACGCTTCCTAGTGGAACGTATTTTGAGCCACCGCGACGTGAATGGCGTCCGGACGAATTATCTCGTCCACTGGAATGGCTATCCACCGGCTTGGGGAAGCTGGGAGCCTCGTGCCCAGCTGATTGTTGATGTTCTGGGTCTCGTAAAGTAATTTAACGAGACCAACCCTCTGCATTCGAAGAAGGGCCGTCGAAAAAAGACCTCCCCGAACGTGAGTACTGGGATTGCAAAGTGTCAATCTCTTCGTCCATCTCAGAAGAGACACGCGTCCTTAAGTAGGTTCAGTATGGAGGTAGGCCTCCCAAGAGACACGATTCGAGTTGTCCATGCAACCTAGACACGAATCACCCCAAGAGAGACAGGGTAATCCTGCCTCTCTTGACAGCCGGTGCAACTTGTTTTGCACCCCGACTGGGTTGCGCTTCTTAAACCTGATGCGAGCTGCATCAAGTTTACCGAGCCAGGCCTCACGACCAATAAACTCGATGCTATGGATAAGGGCATTCCATCCTTGCACCAAGGCTTTACCGTCTCGAACACGGCTACCCCTTGTACCATCGATGTTTGAAAATGCATCGGTAAAAATTCTTACACAGCACGGATAGTTTCCTTGCTGGAATCAGGAATTAGAAGGATACTTCCTCTTACAGTCGAACAACGGGATTCGATCTCGATCGGTAGTCATGCCGGCCGACTGGTCCAACTCTTTGGATAACGGCATCCAACGAGACTCCACATGGGAACGTGGCGTAGGAATTTTGGTACCTGGCCTCTTAATTAATGTCAGCATGAGCACTGACACTAGTGACAGCTTGATCCCTCGAGTTACTTCGCTCATGATGATGTATTGGTGCATCATTACCATCACCACGCGTCCTATCATCGGAAGAATCGCTCGATCCGAAAATCTCAGACATGATGCCGCCACGTTCCCCAGAGCCAGTTAACCTAGATCGTGTAGTATCCGCCCCGGATGATCCGGAGGCGTGAGGTGTCGCCTTCGAGTCGGATGCATCATCCGACTCGCCAGAATCGATGAGCTCTATTTCCGACTCATCTAGGTTTACGACTCGCGGCATCCGCTGCAGACGCAGTGGATGTACCTGTTGCACGTGGTGACTCACCACATGGATTTTCACAACAGCAGGCGACAAATCACCTGCTGCTGAGGTGTGAGAAGTGCTCTCTCCGGCTGCACGAATGCGTGCAGCCGCCTTTCTTGCTGCGACAGTAGCAACTCGCTTGGATTTTGAAACCATGCGTTGGATTGGTAAATAAACGGGATTTGACCAGCAAGTTCTCCCTTTCCGAGAGTGATCGACCGGTGGTCACCCTGTCTATATTAATTCTTATTCAGTTAACGGGTGATTGATGGTTTATAGGGGGTTACATGACGGGGTAGCCCGTTGCATGATATTGACACCAAACGGTGTCACTAGGAATATTGTCTAGCGTGACAATTCCCTACCAATATGATCCTAGATGGATTATATTGAAGGAGTATGTTTCCCTTCTAGGATTATATTCATGCGCTGCTCAACTATTGGTTGATATATGACATATCACTCATAGATTACCACCAATCGCTGCTAGACGCGCGCAATGAGTGGTGAGCAGGTTGTCGTCATGCGACGACGTAGTTTAACATAGTTAGATAAAGACTGAAGTCATATTGATTGCTTCACTATATTAAATACAGTTCTATTTTTACCTTTACTCAAACAAGCTATTTGAGTAGATAAGCTTCCTCTGCACGTACTAGTGCACGTGAAGTTCGTGGCGTCCCAAACAAAGGGTGCTCCGTTACATAAATTCTTCGCTCGTTTAATAGAGAATAGTTAACTTAAATTTTTATGCATTACGTTACAACTTGTGGCAACTGATATTTTTGACATTTCCATAAATGTGTACGTATTAAAGGGTGGGCGCGTACCTAAATATATCATTCCACAACTTATTATTGTATGTATGTACATTATGAATTTGTGGCAAACGATTGATTTAAACATGTCAACTGGGTGTGTACGCATTTGTTCTGGCTAATCAAAAACATTTTCAATCAAAATCTATTGTACCCAGTCCATTTCTGATGACGCCATTATAATTTTGAGATACCTACGCTACTTCGAATTTATTGCAAGCCCGAGTCTTGACGCTATCAGTGAGTGTGCACAAGTTTGAATACCGGATTTGTAAACTGTACCTATCTGTCTGTGCGTATGTCAGTAAACAGCGCAGTGGTGTGTACCTTACTCTTCCTGAGTCCGGTATAGCCTGTCCCCACTCATAGGTCAGTTAGCATAAAAGAAGTCACTCTCTAGCTAGGTCACTATTGTGGCGAACGTACATGATTGACTTAAAATTGATCGAAGGTGAATACGATCACACAAGCACATGCTAGACGCTCAAGAGCACAGGTCGATCACGTTGTCCTAACATTCTGTACTGGGTTAATACAAAAATTAACAGCATCCATTTGTTCTTCAGTCACTGCTGCTATATAATGTTTTGCATTTGATTCAGTTTTGTAAACTGAATTAATTACATCAGGGATGAGTCTGGAGCGCTTCCCTATCTCAATCGAATTTGCTGTAAGGCGGTAAGGAAAGCAATGAGCTACAACGTGAATGTTGAGATAGCACAGAGATAAAACATACGTCAACAAAAACAAAACAGAGTGAAGTTTATAAGCCAGTACTTCTCGCGAAAGGCACAATACGCTTGTTTCATGCGTACACATCCATGCCATTCAACTATCATTTATGGTTTAGGTAGAAATGACTACACAAGTCCTAACAAGGACCTTTTGTTTGGGGTGCTAAGAAACTTCGCGTACACTCGTACGTGCAGAGGAAACCGATCTACTCAAACTGCTAGTTTGAGTAGAGGGTAAAAAGAGAACTGTATCTGATATAGTTAAACTATCAATATAACTCCAGTCTTTATCCAACTATATTAACTTACATTGTCGTCTGACGGCAACCTGCTCACCACTCAGTACGCGCTTCTGGCGGCGATCAGTTGTACCTTTGGTTGATATGTCTTGTATTAACCAATCTTGATCAGCGCATGGATATTATACTCCGGGGATAAATTTCCTTCAATATCATTTATTTTGAGTAATTTTGCATGGAACTGGCACGCTAGGCAATCTCCCTATTGACACCATTTGCTGTCAACATCATGTAACGGGCTACCCCGTTACAATTATGGTGAATGCAGTCTTTACAGTATAATTGATAGACCTGTTTGAAAAATTCGTACAATACGTTCATTACAGCACGGATTACGAATGATTCGGTCGACAATAATTTCGTCAGAGAAAATGTCACTCACAGTGACCACGAGAACAACGACAACCCAAATCCGTCAAAGCAGCCAGATGTAAGGCAATCAAGGTTGAGGTATGCAACATAATAGGCATTTACAGACGATTCTTTGATGTGTGTGGACAATGACAGACGTTAGCTTGAATAGAAAGCAAAACGACACACATAAACATTCATGGAAATGCATTAATACGCCTTTGACAAATGCTGTGTGCACCGTAATAATAGTACTGCACATAGTTAAAATTTACAAGAGATTTTCGAATGTGTCCAACAACACTTCTCTGCGTTTCTTTTATTATCTCAGCTTTAGCATCTGGCCGCATTCCAGCGACCTACATAAAAGCAAATACGATTAAACATTTGAATTAGACGAAATATTGAGAATTAGAATGGTCTCGTCAGATTTAGAATGGGTAAAAACAGATATTGATGGAAAAGTAGTTTTTAATGGCCCACACAATCGCCGGCACCATGACGCACTCACGACCGGTACGTTCAACGTTTCCCCTAAATCTTTGACCAGGGAAACACAACCAAATCACATGAATACTTGTAAGGATGTCTGGTTTTACACTGCACTACCACCACGAACAATTTGGACGGCTAGTGAATGGAAAGAAAAGGCGCGAGAAAGGTTAAAACCCAGCTGATATTGTTATTGATGCTGATTAGCTGCTGCAAGTATGACAGACTGATGCAGACGCCACGGATGACTTAGAGGCTAGCTTGTGGATCGTAAGCTACGGGGCGGACAAGGCTCTCCAACATATCACGGTACTGATCAGCTACCTTCATAGACGCCCCGTGTTTGTCCAGAAGAATGGCAAGAGGACGTTCATCCTCGAAATGTTTGCAGAGAAACTTGAAATCTTCTTCAGAAATTATGCTGTTCACAGCAACACGAACCATTGACTCTAGTTCTTGGGGGAGACCTCTGGCCTCGTTCTCCTTGACCTCACGTAGATGAAGTTGACGAGCGACTCTTTTTTCAGTGTTGAAATCCGAAGACGAGAGAGTGACGGCGCTTGGATCAACTAGGCCCATGGACGATCGGATCGACAGCGCATGGTCAGCGGACGCAGAGATTAGAAGAAGTAGAAAGTCGAGACGCATCTTTCCGGTTAAGAGCAAATAGCGCAATGAGCTTTAGTTCAAACCTCTATAGCTAGCGACTCGAAAAAAAGAAACGGCTGGCATTGCGTGAGCTGGCCCCTCGTGCCAATCGGATGTGCCATACCTGTTTAAGCTGAAGAAATATTTGATTGCTACTTGCTGTGGCCGCAGGGCCGGAATTCAATACAGACAATGTATGTCGTATACAAATGCGCGAAAGGTCCCTTATTCGAGTATTCCTCCGAAAATCTGAATTTGCGTTGTCCTTCTTATATTCGCTCGTTATTTCAAATTACTGCCATGTGTCTCATCTTTCAGGGCTGCAGCTGCAACTTACGTGATGCAAACCTCTGTGATACTACGTCTCTGCCTGTTCTTCTTTGCTCGTGCTTCTGCTCGTGCTTCTGCTTCCGTTTATGTGGGTGGGACTTTCACCGATCAGCTACAAATGTATACCTCTGTTCTACTGCATCTCTGCCTGTTCTTCTTTGCTCGTGCTTCTGCTCGTGCTTCTGCTTCCGTTTATGTGGGTGGGACTTTCACCGATCAGCTACAAATGTATACCTCTGTTCTACTGCATCTCTGCCTGTTCGTCTCTGCTCGTGCTTCTGCCCCTACTGCTTCCGTTTATGTGGTAAAACTGTCACCGATCAGATATCCGGGTCCGGACATAACAGGTCTGCATGTTTTTCTTGCAACAGATCTCCGTCATCATCGTTCTGTGAAGTCGGTCTTGCATTCCTGGCATAGCCACGGAATGTCGCCACCGTTCGGGTCTCGCTTACTCTTCGTTGTTTTCCACAATC